GTTTGTTTACAGGTGGATAGCAAAAGTATTTGGTTTCGCGCATAGCGCTCAGGTGCTTTACAGTTCTACGGTGCGGATCGCTATTCCTTGAACTAAAAAAATTCTTTCGATGTCAGTCAGATTATTGTAAATGATCATGCATGGGAGGCATGATATAGCGGGTTGTAGATCCGCTAGGTTTATATCACATATACGACAGTGTGATATTTGTTCCCTTGCAGGTACTCCGCATAGGAAATGAGTGGGCGGGTCGTCGCATAGGATCTGGTCGTCTGGATCTAGGTTGTCGAAACACTGTTGACAAAAATAATCGTTATCTAAATGGTAGACGGAACGTATCAACCGAACACAGAGGCAAGACTGAACATCCTCCGTCGCTTCCAGATCGAATGCGGGTACGGGCCCGTCTGGGTCCTCTATGTCAGAGTTGATGTATTCGCCACCCGTTCTGTACATACATATAAAAACAGTTAGTATATATATATTTTTTTTATATGTGTCGTTCGGACCTGTTCCTTTGTACGAATACTGTATCCCTGTATATAATATAATTTTCCTTATCTCTCTCTCTCTCTCTCTTTCTCTTTTCTTTTCTCTCTTTTTTTTATTGGTACCTAACATTGCTATTATGATGCTGTATTACATTGTATTGGCTATTATTTGTGTTGAGGTGCGTATGTGTGGGGTGCGCGCGACGAATTTTTATGTTTCGCCTAGGTCGTCCTCGAGTTTCCATCCCGGTGCCACTCACTCTTTCGCACCCTACCCCGGTCAAGGCCGGTGCAGGGCGACGGGGAGCCCCACGAGAAGGTGAGGTGAGTGGTCTTGGCAGATATGGGCCCACCTACTTCACCGAAATTCTCCGCACCGGATCAGCGAGCTGGCGGGTACCAAAGGCACCGACCAAGACGCCGACCAGTCACCATCAGGCTATAGGAGAACATCAGATTCATCGGGGTTTCCCAGGGCGTGGTCCTACGCCCTGAGAACCCATATCCGCCTCATGCTCCCCAACCTAACCCCAACCTAACCCCTCGTCGCCCTCGATAGAAAGTTGCTAGTGGGAAGCATCGTACGTGAGAAAAACTAATTTTCCCGTGTCAAGCCGTAGAAGACAACAGTCTTTAGAAAGTGATTTAGAAAAAAGATATTTGTTGGGTCTGAAGGACCTTAGCTACCAAATTACTGGGATTTATGATGGGTCCTTGGGACTATTGAGGGTACGCAACAAGGATGAGCGGACATCTGGCTCCCGGCTGGCCCGCGGTGTATGGCCTGGTCCAAGTAGAGTTTCGCCCGACGTAACACTGAATGATATTTTCTATTTGCATATTCAATTTTAGGAGCAATTCCAAATAAATTAGGTGGAGTAATTATATTATTCATATCAATTTTTATTTATATATAATTATAATTTATTTATATTATTATATTATATATTTATATTATATTTATTTATATTATATAATTTATTTATATATAATTATATATAATTCCATTAATTAATTTAAATAATTTAAAAAATAATAAATTTTATGTTATTAATAAAATTCTTTATTGATGATTTATTAATATTTTTATTATATTCACTTGATAAGGAAAACTAATAATTGAATATCCATATACTAATTTAAACTTAATATTTACATCATTATATTTTATATA